ACAACAGAAACGTTCCCCCCAGCCATGCCATGGAGCAGCCCTGTCATCAGTTTATGCAGTTTCCAGGTTAGATTATCTAGGAGGAAATCTCTTCGTTCCATGTTGAAAATACAGTTCACAGTTACAGTAGCTTACCTGATTTGAAAAGGTGCGGACATCAAAAAAAGCTACAAGGGAGCCGTATTCACTGGACACCATGCATGCAGAGAGCGTGAGGTTGTCACAGCTCAGTGCCAGGTGATGGACTGGGAATTTCAGAGGGACAGTCAAGCCCTGGACGGTCTCAACTACAAAAACACAAGAAACAAAGCAAAAAACAGATTGTTCTAGGCACACAGCCACAATCCTTTATCCAAGTCAATTATGAAACATTTTGCTATCTCCATAAACATATACCCTTGGATCCTTAGTTATAGAAACTAATTTTAACTTTCCTGATAACTGGTTTTCTCTCTGTCTTTCTTTTTTTCCCCCAGACAGGGTTTCTCTGTGTATCCCTGGCAGTCCTGGAACTCACTCTGTAGACCAAGCTGGCCTTGAACTCACAGAGATTCACCTGCCTCTGCCTCTGCCTCTGCCTCTGGGGTTGGGGCTGGATTAAAGGCGTGGGTCACTACTGTCCAGCTTAACTTTCCTATAAGGAGGTAATGATGCATTAAATATTCCAAGACTTCCTATTGCCCTTGCTGAAGAGGCTTTTGCTACAATGCCCCAAATACACATTTCCATCTGTTGGGTTGGTTCTGTCATGCCTTCTCCTAGGCAGCCAGAGTTCAAGTTCAACTGAGCAAAAGAAAAACATGGCACAAGAATGGATCTTAGAGAACAGGTCACAGAAACAGAAGCACAGAGGGTTAAAGAGAAAACTCAGAAAGGCGGGGTTTTTGGCACCCTACTCTGCAAGGCAATCTTAAGCATAAAAGTAATTTTAACTTTCACATTAAAATTGTGTCTCGGGGGGCTGGAGATATGGCTCAGTGGTTAAGAGCACTGGCTGCTCTTCCAGAGGTCCTGAGTTCAATTCCCAGCAACCACATGGTGGCTCACAACCATCTTTAATGATATCCGGTGTCCTCTTCTGGTGTGCGGGCATACATGGAGGCAGAATGTTGTATACATAATAAATAGATACATACATACATACATACACACGCTAAAAAAAAATAAAATAAAATTGTGTCTCGGAAAGGAAATAAGTCGATTAGCATGCCACCACAGGCCATCTCTGCTATACAACATATCAAAGTGCTTACCAATTTTATTGGGATCATCTCCAGGTTTGTTCTGGATAAGAAGGCTTTTGGTAGGAAAAACACACAAGCCATTGGTACCACCAGCAAAGAGCATACCATACTTATTGGATATGGCAAGCACACTCGAGCGCTCCTTGGGCAACTCCTCAGGAGAGTCAAAGATCCTTACTTTCTTCAATGCTCTAAACTGAAAGTCCTGTTTTGAGGGGTGAAACAAGATCAATTTCCAGGAAGGAAGAAATTAAGTTATGTTTACTATTACAGTCCATAAACACAATTTCAAAATAACAAAATGCACTATTACCCTGAGGCCAACAATTTTCTGTTTTTAGACTCTCTGTATTTTTGGTGATGCATGGCTTAATATTCATTAACATTTGTTGAATGAAATACACAGGGCTGGATAGAGGACTCAGGGGTTAAGATCACTAGCTGCTATTCCAAAAGATTTGGGTTTACTTCCCAGCATCTACATAGCAGCTCACAACTGTAACTCCAGTTTCTGGGAATCCAACAATCCTACACTTCGTTAGTCGGCAATCACTTTGCTAAGCTGCATTTGTGCCCCGCCCCACCCAATAAACCCATCTTTAGGTCAGGGTTTTAGTGAAAAGAATGTGACAGCTCCAAGAGAAAATTTGTTTCTATTGAGCCATAAGCAGTGTCTCATAAGCAGTGTCTAGCACAACCACACATACTATTTTCCTGGTAGTGCAGGTTTAATGCATATTTACTCAAATAGACGGAAATTCTCAAATCTAGTTGAATATAGTGGGCAAAGGTTCACACAACTTTCTCCATATCTTCTTTGTGATTATCATCCTAATAGTCATGACTATATTACTGGGTCATGATGGCCTTTGTGTGAAGGATCAGTGTGATCAAGCAATACAAAAAAGCTCTCCTTTCTGGCACTGGCAGAAACACTGCTATTCATCCTGTGGTTCTAAGGCCTCTCCACCCCAGCATAGCTGAGGAGCATGACCCATGCCCATCAGGGGGCTCAGCACAGGCGCTGATGCTCCAGAAAAGAGCCACTATTTCTAATCATGATATGGCCACTCTCCCATATACGCATTTTAGCGATTCTAGCGATTCGCTGTTCACACAAATGGCTAACTCCTTTGTGCAATTCACTCATTTCTAGCTGTCTTTGGTTCTGTGTTTTCATTCTGCCAGATTATATAAGTCAACTATTAATACAGTAGCCACACGTGGTGGGGGAGGGGCATCCCTCTTATCATTATAGCCACTTCCCTTCCCTTTAATTTCCTGCCTTCGAGCTGACTTCCAGGGCCAAATTGTCTTTCTATTCCAATTAACTAGGGGTTTTGGAAGGCAGAAGTGCTTCTTGGTTCCACTTGGGTAGTCTGGACCACCTTCAAGTATCAGCATAGAGAAAGCTAAGTGAGGGGCTACACCAACTGTGGGGATGCACACCAATAATCCCAGCACTTGGGAGGTGGAGGCAGGGGCATCAAGAGTGCAAGACCAGCCTCAAGCGGACAGAAGCCAACTTAGTTGGACTACAAGAGATCCTGTCTTAAACAAAATAAGACTTAAGGCTTCGGCCACGTGACTTTGGATAATTTACTTTCAGAACTTCAATTTGCTCTCTTTAAGAGCTAGTTGTAGGGGCTATGGTGACGAAGGCCACAGCACCTCGCACGCAACAAACAAAAAGTCGTTGTTACTCCTATGGCGACCAGCACATGAGAGTAGCAAGGGTAACTTAAGAGGCGTGGCCAAGCCCACCTAAGGGCAAGTGACCCGCACTTGGAGAGAACTCACGCTAGCGACACGCACAGAACTGCGGACGCTGTGAGGCGAGAGCTCTGAACCTGGCGAACTGTTGGAAGCAGGCGGGGAGTGGGGGACGTTCCAGGGCAATTCCAGGGCTACCGCAGGCAGTGAGGCCCCAGCCAATCTCTACCTTCATCTCCCGCTCAGGGACTATGGCATCCATATCGTCTCCCATCGTGCCGCCTTCAGGGCGTTCAAAAAGCTGCCGCTGCCGCCTGCAGCCTTTCCAACACAGCCCAGGCCACTCGGGCCCCGACTTCCTCTCCCCCGTGCCAGCGGCGCGCGGGAGACGCGCGCTTCCGGCGCGCATAGCTGACGTCAACCTCGCCGGTTAGTGGGATTGCCCGAGTCAGTCGCGGGCTCCTCCGAAGTCGCGCGCTTGCCTGCCCACCAGCCCCATTGGCCGGTTTTCCGGGGAGTGGCCACGAGGCGCGCGCCGACGCCCTCCCTTTCAGATCCGCGCTCACACACCGGTTTTTCAAAGGTTTCCGTCGTTGCGCGGCGCACACTTTTGTCAATCAAAGACTGGAAAGTTACCCGCAGCTCCTAGCTGCAGGTCTGTTAGTAGCTTCCGACTTAGGGAAGTTAGGAACTTAAAACTGTGTCCAAGAGACAACTTTGAGAGGTTTAGGAAGAGCGGGCAAAGAGGTTCAGATAGTAGGTGGACTTGCGTGTCCCGTTGCTGAACCCTTTTGCCCAAAACTGAAAACGAAGCGGAAAAGGAGTAAAGATATGTTTGACAATCATTTCAGAGCAGAAGCCATCTCCACAGTGTCTCCTTTAACCTTCCAGTAGGGGTTTGGTGACTTAATAGAAACCCTGTTATGGTGGTTTGTGCCTGCCAATATCACCTCTTGGGAGGTGAAGGCCTGAGGATTAGGATCTCAAGGCCATCCTCAGCTACTTGGTTATCCTTAGCTATCCTGGTTTACACGAGGCCCGGTCTGGAAAAAAAAAAATTGTTTAATGAAATAAGGGAATTCCACACAAAGCGGTTAACAAATTAACCAGTGGCTCTCAGCCAGGACGGGTTAAGATCTAGATGTACTAACTGATGTTGAACTTTCTGTAAAAATAATGTAGAAGTTCCTAACTTCGAGCTGGTGTGTCCGGTCCAGAGGGCACATTCTGTCAAGTGCTGTTTTCAACGAGTTATTTATGTGTCCCATGCCTCTTCTCATTGTAAAATAATGATAAAAATAGAAGAGAAGCTGGGCGTGGTTAGCATTCAGGCCTCTGTACTGGCTCTGCCCTTAGGGTCCTGACAGACTGCATCCTCAGCTGCAGCCACTACGTGTTGCATGTTAGTTGGGTTCCCTTTCCACCTCCTGTTTCTCTCTCCCTCTCTTTCTTCCTTTCTCTTCTTCCCTCCCCTTCCCCCCTTTAACCATTCCCTTTCCTGCAATTAAAAAAAAAAAAAATTTTTTTTTTTTTTTTTGTTATTTTGGTTTTTTTTTTGTTTTTTTTTTTTTTTTTTTTTGGTTTTTTTTCGAGACAGGGTTTCTCTGTAGCTTTGGAGCCTGTCCTGGAACTTGCCTTGAAAACCACAGTTTGAACTGACCTCAAACTCACAAAGATCTGCCTGCCTCTGCCTTCTGAGTGCTGGGATTAAAGGCATGCGCCACCACAGCCCGGCTAGATTTTCCAAATTCCCACTCCCTCTTCTCCCAGTGTTGTTTTTATTATTATTATTATTTTATTATTATTATTATTATTATTATTTATGGTGCAGGGGCAGGCAGATCTCTGAGTTCGAGGCTAGCCTGGTCCACAAAGAAGTTCCAGCACAGCTAGGGCTACAGAGAGTGGGGTAAAAGTGGGTCTTGGGCTTAGTCAGAGGAAGTCAACTGTCCTCTGTCTGGGACTCATTCAGCTGGTACCTTTGTCAGCTTGCTCTTCTGAATTTACTGAGCCCAGAGCTGTCCCCAAGAAGCACAAAGACACTGGTGAATTGGTCTAGTTTATTCCAATCTGCAGATGGTGTCCCACCCATACATACACATGCACACACGTCATTCACCCGTATCTACCTGACAAAAGTCTATTGAATCACAGGGCAAAGCCATACTTGGCTTGGCAGTCCTCATGTGTCTGGTCACACCAGTTAGATTTGGTCTTTTTCAGAAGTAAAGACAGCTGATTTCCCAAGAAAGCTAAGCCCGTAACTAGAGAGGTTAAGAACCCTGGAGCCAAAAGATAGATACAGCTTGAAATATATGCAAACTCCTCCCTCTAAAGCTTATTCTTAAGTCTCTTCCCAGGGGCTGATCTACAGACCACTGACGGGGCTCGCAGGGTCCCCTCCCAATAGAGAGCCTCTTCCTGTACCTTGGAGAGGTCAGAGGCACACTCCTTTGCTGTCCCTTATGGGGTGCTATGTAATCCCAGGAGTTGTGGACCCACTGAGCCTGACTGGCTCCACCCTCCTCTGTCACAGAGAATTGGACATCTGAATACAGTCCAAAGTCCCAACCCAACCATTGAACGAGGCAGAAGGAATGGGGAGAGATGCTACTCTTTAAAAAAAAAAAAAAAAAAAAAAAGGGTCAATAGATGGGATGAGGGTAGACAGGATTTTCTGTTACAGGGAGGAACGCTAGGGTTTAAACATCAACTAGAATGCATTTGAAGCATAGCTAAATGATCTGTGCTGAGCTGGACTGGTTGAGACCAGAGGATAACCGGGGCCAGTCATTTTGTGCCGTTTGCTTCACTCTCCAGCTGCTATAGGACACTAAGGAGCCCCAGGAAAACCACACTAGCTTAACTCTTTCGCCTTTTCCTCTTAGGGTTTAGGCTCTTCTACAGTCTTACCAAGACACGAGTCAGCTGGAATTCCTGGGACTACAGGAAACTGACCTCTTGCTGCCGCTGCCCCTCCCCATTTCCTAACATCACACTGTCCTTGGCTGGGTGTGATTCCCCAGGAGATCCACATTTCACGTGTCAGCCCGTTTCACTGTTGGGTTCTGGACTCAGTGCATACAGTGAGTGCTTGATAAATTTGTTTGCTGAATGACTCTGTCTTGTCCTGAGAGGCCAGGACAAAAGTTTCCAGAACACGGGCAGGGTCAGGCTGAGGTCCCCACTCGGATAAGATGGGTCAACTTTGATATTCACTGCAGTAATTCCTGGAAATGGTCTCTGAGGATCAGTCAAGAAGCTGAAGGGAAGACAGACTGCCAAGGCAGGCTTGGTCCTTACCCGAACCCACAGCCAGTTTGAAGGGTGAGTCCTGACCCAAGGTCTTCAGAGGGGATGACACCTTTCTCAAATATCAGGCTGAGAGATAGTCATCCTCACCCTTCCCTTTGACCAATGCAGCCTAGGGCAGGGTGCAGGGCACCTGACCACCTGGGCGCCAGTCCACGCTCTCCCATCTCTAGATTAACCCCCGACCTTCCAGCAAGGTCCTTAACCCCAGTAGGGCACACAGTGAAATGAGAGGACTGGCCCAGCTAAAATCTGCCGGGTGACCTCAGTCCCATCCCCAGGCTCCAGGTCTTGAGTGACCTGAGAAGGGAGCTAGGAGTTGGACATAGCACACATCACCACCGAACAGGAGGACTTAAAGCTTGTATGTAATAGGCACTCAGCAAACAACTGCTGAGGAGTGGGTGAGTGGAGGGAGAAGCAGGAATAGCCGGATTCAGGGCATCTTCCAGTCAGCTTGTGTCTCTGTCTGAGGTTCATCATGATCACCTGACTCCTCTTCTGCCCTGGCACCCTCAGCATCCTCCCTCGAAGTGGGGCTCCCCAAAGCCACTATCTTCACCTCTGCCTCTGAGACCCTTTCCTGCCCAGCAATGGACAGCCGAACTGCACTGTCCCTCTGAGCTGTCTGTAAAGGTGTGGTCACAAGAAGTAAAGCCAGAAGTTCCTTCTGGTTCCTTTGAAGGACTCCAATTCTTCCATTCCCCACCTTGTGTCACGTCACTGAGGACCGAGAGTGGCAAGAACCAAGGGAAATCAGCTGCATCTGTGAGGCACCCAGGAACACCAGAAACACCAAGCTGTCCTGGAGCTTTGTGCCTGCTCAGGATCACTTGAGGGTGGGGAAAGGGGAGGGGCAAACAGGGTCAACCCTGCGGCCTGAATTGAGCTTAGAAACCTAGAATGAGGCCGGGCGGTGGTGGTGCATGCCTTTAATCCCAACACTTGGGAGGCAGAGGCAGGTGGATCTCTGTGCGTTTGAGGCCAGCCTGGTCTGCAGAGTGAGTTCCAGGACAGCCAGGGCTGTCACATGAAGAAACACTGTCTCGAGAAACCTAGAAAGATGAATTGATAGACAAGACCCTCTTCAACCATGGGAACTCGGGTGTGCGGCCCCCACGCCCTCTCCAGCTTTGATGTCAGCCCTTCTGTGTAGGGAGGGCAGGGCAGCAGGGATCAGAGAGCAGGGCCCTGAGGCTTAGGGTTCCCCAGTCTCGTTAAGGCAAGTAACGTGTGCTCCCATAAAGAAACGGAAATGAAGATGAAATGAGTCCATTAGGACAAAACACAGAAGACAGACGACAAGGAGTGGAGAAAGCAGAGAGCCAAGTGCAGACGGTGGCCTGGAGGGTCCAGGCCGGTCCTCAGGGCAGGCTGGCGATGTCTCTCTCAGGAGGTGGGCCAGCAGGCTTGGGGCTGCTCTCGTTGGCTTTTCCTTCAAACATCATGACCCTGGTTTAGAGATGAAGAAAATAAAACAAAACAAAAGGGTTAAGACTCCTCCCCTCAGTCAGAGCTCTCCCCAGCCTTCGCTCTGCTGGTCCTCGATGGAATGTCCCCAAGGCTATTCTGGGAAGAGCTGCGTGAAAAATCACACTTGCCAGGTGGTGGTGGCAGAGGCAGCGGTGGTGTGTGCCTTTAAATTCCAGCACTCAGGAGGCAGAGGCAAATGGATCTCTGTGTGTTCCAGGCCAGCCTGGTCTACAGAGCACGTTCCAGGACAGCCAGGGCTACATAAAGAAACCCTGTCTCGAAAAACAAAAACCATCACACACACACACACACACACACACACACACACACGGACACATATACCACACATATGGAGACACAGACACACACACGGACATGGACACAGAGGTATACACATAAGGAAAAAAAGGAACCAAAGTCCAAGGACCAAAGATAGCCTGCTTAGAGTCACCAGGGAACAAGCAACAGTGCCAGGATTCAAACTCGAATTGACTTTTTCAGGGAGGGAAGAGGTGAAAGGAATTTGAGTTAGGTCTCAAGTAGCCCAGGCTAGCCTTAAATTTGCTAGGTAGCTGAGGATAGCCTTGAAACTCCTGTCCTTCCTGCATCTACTGCCTTAGTGCTAAGAATACAGATGTGCCCTACCACATGCCCAGCTAGAGGTGATTACAGACTCCGTCAACTCACAACAACCTCAGGGAGGAAACAGGTCGGAACACGTTGACAGGAGGGTAGGGGTGCAGCAAAATGGTTGGAGCATTTTTCTACCAGGTATGAGGCCCTGGGTTTGATTATAAGCATCTTGTACAAAAGGAAGGGAAGAAGGGAAGGAGAGAGGGAGGAAGGGAGAGAGGAAGGGAGGGAGGAGGGAAGAAAGGGAAGGGAGGAAGTATTCATAGTCAGGACTGGTTTGGTATTACATGCCCACAATCTCAGTACTTGGGAGGCTGAGGCAGGAGAATTAATGGCTTTTGAGGAGAGCTTAGGCTCCACAGTGAGTAACAGACCAACTAGGATTACATGGGAGCACTCAATTAAAACTCTGAAAACCCTGTAAAAAAAAAAAAAAAAAACCAAAGACAAAAAACAGGCAGTGGTGGTGGTGCACACCTTTTACCCCAGCACAGGGGAAGTAGAGACAGGCGGATTTCTGGGAGTTTGAGACTAGCCTGTTTTACATAGTGAGTTCCAGGCAGTGCCACCTTCATTTTGTCATTCATGAAGCCTCCATTGGGGTTTACCATGCACCACAATACAAGCTAATCTCTCTGGGTAAGGAAAACAGGCTCAGAAAACTCCAGATCTTCACTCGACAGGGAGCACAATGAATTGTCCACCACTAGGGGATGGCCAAGGTGTCCTCAGCCCGGGCTTCTCCCCACACGATAGCCTTGCCTCTGAGACCTCACGGGGTGCGGAGATACTCACAGTTTGAGGACAGCCGAGCGCTTGCCAAGCATCATGTTCACGAAGTCGCGGTAGGAGATGGTGTCGCTGACACCGCCTGTCACCTCCGAGATCATCTTCTTCATCTCCAGATGGGTCTTGGGGACCCCCAGCTTCTCCATCATCCTCTTTAAAGACATTAGATCTGCCAGGAGGAAAAGCAGATCCGCTGAGTGGAGACAGGACACTGCCGGCTGCAGGGAGTCAGATCTGGTCTGGGATCAAGCATCACTCCTCTTGGCTGGGGGACCTGGGGAAAATTGTGTCACCTCTCTGGGATGACAGGTAACACAAGTCTCCAACCCCAGCAGCTGAAAGGCTGGGACAGAAGGATCGCTGCAAGTCTGAGACCAACCTGGGCTGCATATTGGAGAAGGCCTAGGGAGAGGGCTCACTCGGTAAGCTGTGCCAGCATGAGCACTGGGTTCAAGCCCCACAGCCCGAATAAACACTCAGGCGCCCTGGCACAAGCCTAAGATCTCGGGGATGGGGGATCAGAGACAAGAGGATCCCAGAGACTCACTGGCCATCCAGTCTAGCCAAGTAAATAAGCCCCAGGCCCAAAAATAAATAAATAAGTAAACAAACAAACAAACAGGAAAGCCATTTAGAAGACCCTGATGCCAACCCCTATCTTCTACACCCAGGCACACACAGGTGCACATGTATATGTGTGCCCACAAACACGCACACATACACGCACAATCAGTTTCCAGGAGAAAGAAAGCAGAAGAAATGGTAATTAGCCGTATGCGGACATGTTATACGCGATTCTCTCCCAGAGGGGCCTCTGAGTTAGGGTGAGCCAAGGTGCCCAGGAGTTAGCCTGACTCCGGGCATTGAAAGTCAAACTTTCTCTGGCACAGCACACAGAGACCGTTGCCACCTGCCACTTCCGTTCTGCTATTGTAGGACTCTCCCAAGGCTAGGGGGGACAGGGAGCCAGAAATACCCTCAGAGCAGGAAAAGCAACAAAAGGACAAAAGAGAAGAAAAACAAGGGAGGCACCAAAAAGTCCTTCCACCCCAGGGGGCTCCCACCAACATCTGAGACAAGGCACGCGGTGGGGGGGGGGGGGCAGGGCCATCTGCGCTGTGAGCAGGGTTGAGGTGGGCAGCACTTGTACATGGCCCTAAGTTGCTAGGCTTTCCAGGTTCCTCTGTGGAAAAGAGCTCAGGGCACACACACTGCCCACCTTCAAACTGTCAAGACTTCTGGAGACACGTGGCATGGGGTTGCTGAACACCCTGACCCACTGTGTCTCCCTCACTGGCGAGATTTACCCTGCAGACAACCAATGAAGAGGACCAGATCCATCTAGAGAGATGGTTGCTGTGAGGTGATCAATAGCAGTTAAAATAGAAAATAGTAGGTTGGCAGGACAGCTCAGCAATACGGGTAAAGGTGCCTGCTGCCGCGCCTGAGATAGTTTAATCTCTGGAACTCACACGGTAGAAGGGACCTGACTCCCTCAAGTTGTCCTCTGACCACCAAACACATGCCATAGAGGTCCAGCCCCTCCACGTAAACAAATAAATAATAAATGTGATTTAAATTTTTTAAAACTCAGAAATAGTAACCCAAATGTGGTAGTGCATGCCTGTAAACCCAGCACGGGGAAGGCTGAGGAAGGGAGACTGCTTGAGGCCAGCCTGAGCTAAATAGTGAATTCTAGGTCAACCTTGGCCAGAAAAACAAAAACTAAAAAACAACCTAAGAAACCCACTGAAGATACAGCTCAGCTGACAGAGCGCACCGCACGCATGCAGCTCTGGGTTCTGTCCCTTGCCCCGTACAAAGTGAGCATGGTGGTGCATGCCTGTAATCCCCACAGTGGGGGCTCATCCTCAGCTACATACTGAGTTACAGGCCAGCCTGGGCTATCATGAGACCTGTCTCTAAAGAAAAAATATGAAGCCACCTACAGTCTAAAATTCTAAATGGTGGCTCTTCAAGTGTTGGCTGGACGCCTTTGGATCCATTCATGCAATGGAATATCCTGGGAAGGGACAGAATAACAGGGAACCCTCTCAGAAGCAAACACAGGGACTGAGCCCATGCCCCAACATCGGGGACTCATCAAATCCTTTCCTTCTGAGTCTTGGAGTCCTATCCACAACCTGAGGGTGACTGAGCAGCCTGGACCACGGCCTAGCCCTGCTGGTGAGGGTCAAGCTACAGTTTCCTGCCGGAATGCAGGTGCCCTGGGACTTTTGTGTCTCTGTCACCCCAGCACCTTGACAGCAGGCAGCAGTGGGTTCTGCTGGAGGTTGAGAGGCAGTGTCTACGCCCCTTGTCACCTGCAGGGCAAGGGACCGCAATAAGGACAAGGCAGACTTGGAGAGAACGAAGCTGCAGTCCCTGGGTCCAGGAGACAAGCAGCCGCTGCAGGCCTGGGTGGGATGCAGCGCTAGGCTCTGGAGTGGGAGGCTGTGGAATCTAGCAGGGAAGCAACCCAGGAAGGTTCCCAGGCAGTGAAGCCGGGCAGAGAGTGGAAGGAACCAGGGCAGGCTGTGCCTAAGGCAGGATAGAAAGATAGAAGATGAAGGGGCTTGAGGAGGGAGAGGAGCCCCTTGGCCCTGAGGATATGCCCTAAGTCACATACTGGCAAAGAGTCAAGAATTTCAACCCAAAGACAGAAAAAAAATGTGCTGTGAAGATTGTCTGCTTAGAGAAAGTATTCCAGTCCCCAAGAGACTCCTAACGAGACCTACAAAACAGTCAGCCAGCCATGCGCGCAGACAGAACGTGTGTGTAACCGCTGAGGTTAACTTTACCAGCACACCCTGTTGTCTGTTCTGAGAAAACTCTCCCAGACAAGATCACAAGCCCTGTTTATAGTCGGAACATGTCTTGACCTCCTAGTGACCCGTGGATGGTAAGAACTCCATTGATCTGGGTGACCTACAACTTTATCTTTTTAGCCCGTTCAGTCTGGAACAGCACACTCATGAAACCCTGTAAAATCTCACTTATGAAATGATGAATTCTTCAGATAAGTATGCAAAAACATTTTTTACTTAATCTTTCAAACTTAGAAATTGATTATACCCTTTGGATAAAGTAATGTCAAAAGTCACCAAAATCATAGAGCTAGCTATTGCTAAGCCGGGCTGCGCCTTTCTTGGCAGCTTCTGCTTGTTTTGTGCGAAAAAACTATACTACTTCCACTACTCTCCTCTTTCCTTTCTATTTTTTTTTCAAAGTTTATTAAATTATGAAAGTTTCCATTTCCGCCCCTCCTCCCAACACCCTCCCACTCCCCCCCTTCCTTTCTATTTTTTATTGTACTTTTAAAAATTATGTGTAGTGTGTTTGTGCACATAACCGCAGTGCCCACAGAGGCCACCACAGGGTGCCAGATCCCAGGGAGTTAGAGTTGTTTATAAAGCCCCTCACATGGGTGCTGAGAACCAAACTCAGGTCCTCTGCAAGAGCAGCATACACTTTGAACTGCTGAGCCATCTCTTCAGCCCTTCCTTTTTATTTTCAATTTTTTAAGACATATTTATTTTTATGTGTATGATTGGTTTTTTTTATGTGCACTGTGTGTGCTGTGCACTCAGAGGTCAGAAGAGGGTGGTAAACCATTTGGAACTAGAGTTATTGGGGGTTGTGAGTCATCATGTGGATGCTAGAAAATGACCTTGGTTGTTAATCACTGTTACCCCTCCAGTCCCTGTTATTGTTTTTAATGAAGTGAATTTGGAGTTTATTAAGAGTTTTAAGGTGGATTCAAACATGAACATTAAGAGAAGGGGGTGATGCTGGGTATGGTGGGAAACTCTCTATAGGCAGGCGGATTTCTGTGATTGCAGGCCAGCCATGATCACACAGCAAAACCGTGTCTCAAAACACAGGGAAAAGAAAAAAGGAAGAAAGGAAGGAGGGAGAAAGGAAGGAAAGGGGCTGAGCAGGTGGAAGAGCCTGCCACCAAGCCTGACAACCTGTTTGATCCCAAACCCAGAATTTATATGGTAGAAGAGGGCAAACTCCTGAAAGAGAAACTCCCCCTTTCTCTCTCCCCCATCACACACACACACACACACACACACACACACACACGCACACACCATATATATATACACAAATAGGTAATAAAAACTCAGTCTGAAATTCTTTTTTTGCTGTGTTAATCAAGATCCCAGTGCCCCGAATGAGTAGAAGTCTCTGAAAACAATTCAGTATTTCCTTGTGTCCCCTGCTGGTGACAGGGTAGCCGGGCCATCAGTCCCATTAGGGAAATATCGGGGAGTTCTTCAGCCTCATCCAGTGCCCCTCGCCAGACCAGTAAGGCTCTTTGGATCTCAAACCTTCTACCCACCCTCCACCTCTGCCACCCGAGTCTCACTCACCAATCTCGCCTTCATTGTTCAGGTCAAACTCCATGTATTTCTCTGGAAATCACAAGCAAAAGCTGCCATTAGGTTGGAAGCCACAGCTCTCCCTGTGGAACCTGGTGACTCCCTGGAAAGAGCTGACTAAACCCTGGGGAGCCCTTGACACCCTCCCCATCCCAGGAGTCCTGTCATCATAGCTATTGTCTCTGAAAGAGCCAAATGCTTTTCCTGATACCAGGTAGTGAGAAGCAGCTATGAGGAAACTATAGTGCATGTTGGCAGCCATGTCTCCTGATGGTCACAGGGGTCCCTTGTGGCTAAATATGCTAGACACCGTTTTGGTTGTTCCTGTTATACAAGGGTACACTCATGTGCGCACATACGTGCACACACTCACACACACAAACATAGGGTTTACATCCTCAAAAGACCAAACAGCTGTCTGTGACTTTAGTTCCAAGAGATCTGACACCCACTGCAAAACACCATTGCATATAAGATAAAAATAAATACAATAAAAAAAACATTATTATACTATTGCTGTATCATTGTGTTGGTGTTAACCTCCCTTGTGGAATTTTTGGGAGGCTCATGGGAAGAAATACTCTAAAAGAAAGATCTGTTCTACCATGATTTGGATCACCTTCCCCCATGAATATGCTATTCATCTCATAAATATTCATAAAAACTTCCTTGTCATCTACAAAGCAAAAGCCTACTCCACTCTCTTTGGAACGTTTGCTTTGCTTCGTCTGGATAAATCAATTTCTGTTTAAACTGTCTACATCTCTTGATTGAATTATTTATGTGTGTGTGAGCGCGTGTGTGTGTTTGCACATGTATGATGTGTGCGTCTGAGTATGCATGTGTGTGGAGGCCATGGGACCACTTTGAGACATCAGTTCTCTCCTTCCGTCTCTCATAGGTTCAGAGGATTGAACTCAAGTCATCGAGGGGTTTTGTGATCAGTGCTTTTGTCTGCTGAGCCATCTCGCCATTACTGAACTGAATTCTTTCAAAAAGAACCAGTATCCACAATATCCCTGCTTGCACCGCTGTCTTACAGGCACCCTGAGGGGAAAAAAGGCAGCAATGGGCCACGCTGACCCTGATAGGAAGAAGGCAGTTTCCTCAGAGTAGGCTGCAAAGTCAAACAAATTATGCCCTTGGAGACTTAGGGGTATAGGGAGGGTGGTGGGGCAGGCCTTGGGGTGCCTCCAAGTATCCCAGGAGGTGCTGATGGGCAGCTGGTACAGAAAGCCTGGCTCTAAAACAGAGAAGAAGCCAGGGCCCTCCCTAGTTGAGAGATGCGTGTGTGGGACCTTCCCCAAAGCCTGCAGACCTTGAGACAGCAACTCCTAAGCCAAAAGACCTAGCGAGACCAGCCAGGAAGGTAGTAGGAGCTGCCCCAGCTTGACGTCTTCTGATCAGGGCAGTATGTCAGCAAGTTCTTGTCCAGCGTCACCCCTACCTCAGCAGTGCAAGCTCTTGGGGACTAATCTGCACCACAGGGCCACCAGAATGACAGGCACCCTGTTCCTCTCCATGCTCCTAGCTGGTCTCTCAGCCTGGTGTGTCCTCCCGGGTATGCCCAGGCTCCTCCTCAGGACTTCAGCTTCCACTAGCGCCGGTCCTGCAACCAACAGGCCTGGCGCCTAGTGAGCACCCATCTGGATTACAGAGGAATGGACGACTTGAGGACCTTTGGGTCTCTCCCTTTCCAACTAAGACTCTCTGTTTGACAGATGCAACCTCACCTCCCAATGAAGATGTGACTTCAGAGCCCCAGACCCTGTTTTCCTCCCAGAAGTGTATCCCCATAAGAAGAGGGCCCCTGTGCCCTCTGCATACCTCTCCCGAAGGCCTGTCCTGCTCCCCACTCCGTGACATCATATACCTAGACTGACACTTGGGGCTAGAGACTGACAAGGGTTTAAAGTCTCAGCTCTGCCCTTAATGAGCTATGTGACCCCTCTGTCAATAACCCTACCTCCCCACACCTGAGTTTGTTGGTCTGAAAATGAACAATTTCACCACCTGCCTCCTGATGCATGGGGAAGCAGGGTCAGCAGAGTGGACCAGCCATTATCGAACAGGGCTTTCCCTGGGCTGACTCTCAGCACCTGCAGGTTATTATTAATATTACTGCCATCTACGTGCTGGCCGAGACAACTATGCTGAGAGCCAGATGAGGCAGGCGAGGCGCACTGGCAGGTACTTGGTCTTGGAATGGGAAGGATGCCCAAACTGCAAACACTTGGGAGAGGGATGGGACCTCCTGGATGACCTCTGTAGAGCTCAGGGTTCCCACCCCCCAAACGCACCCCAGAGGCAGGAAAGGTGGGTCTGCCCACTCCTTGTATGCCCAGGCTCCTCTCTTTCAGTCACTGGCGGAGGACCAAGCACCAGGGCCCCGAACAGAGAAACCTTTATACTGCCCCTCTCCCCGCGCAGGCTCCTGAGTCCTGTTTTCTTTTCATCCCGTGCTGTTGGGATTCAATGGGCAGAAACTCTGCCCCCCTGCCCCACTGTAGCAACACAAATGTCTATTCTCCGCTGGGGCTCCTGAGCGGCTCCGCCAGGGAGGGGGAGACGCAAGGGCTGCTCACAAAGAGTAGATTGTGTGCTGGGGCCCTGAGAGTGCACAGGGCCTGGACGGGGAGGACAGGAGCCAACCTGAGCCACACCGAACAACATGGGACAGAGGGCAAGGCCAGATCAGGCCTGCAGTCAGGGGTCCACAGGGGAGGAGGAAGGAGACAGGGCCTGATTGGAAGTGGGGCATTCTGGGTAAATAGCAGCCCAGTCCTGTGGAGCCGAGGAGTCCTGTGTGCCATGGGTTGAGGGAACAGCCAGATTTTCCGGGGGCAGTTGGGCAGGCAGCCCTGGCTCACCTTTGAAGGCTGTGAGCTTTTCCGGCAGGTTCTCTTCATCGCTGTACTTCTGGTCACAGAGGAACTCCTAGGGAGGTGAGACCACAGTACTGAGCTAGGGGGCAAAGGTCACCTATAGGTAACCCATGCAGGGCTCACCCCATTTTCCTGTGAATCCACAGTCACCCTGGCGGCAGGAAGTGTTCTCTGCAGCTTGGGGACAGGGCTTACCAGAGGATCTACTCTAGGGGACTGAACACCTTCAGGGATGTGTCCTGTGCTGTCCCGAGAAGAACAAGCTCCCAGGATCTGGGAAGCTGTGAGCTCCAGAGACAGCGCCCAAGTCTGTAGTGTGCTCACTGGACCATTACCTTCCCCACCAGGTGAGCATCAAGGCTGACCGACTCCTTGAGTTTGCAGGGATGCCACCAATGAATGGCTTCAGTTATTAACCCCCCTCTGGCCTGAAAATGGCTGAACGTTACCCTTATGAGACCCCCTCCCCCCCCACCTCTACCCTCCCCTGTAAAATGAGATTCAATCCCTGGTGCGCCTCCCTTCAGCAGCTACAAGAGACAAATATTGAGTCCTTTCAGAAGCAGATGGGTACTGTGGGCAGCTCCAGGGAGGACTGGAAGGTAACAGCAGCCTTCATGGGCCCTCAGGCACACTGGTTCTTTTCAGATCTCCCAACTGCCTTTCCCACGCCTGTTTCTGGGGAAACTGATGCGCACACAGTTAAGGAACCCTGCCGAGCTCCACCTTATTTAAGCCACCTTAAACCACAGCACGAAGTGCTGCAGAGTGTGGGTGTTCTTCACATCTGGGCTCTCATTTTAAAACAAAAAATATCCCAGCACTTGGGAGGCTGAGGCAAGAGGATGGCAAGTTCAAGGCCAACCTGGGCTGTGTATCAAGAGATTGACTTAAAAGTAACAACAAAAGGGGCTGGAGAAATGTTCCACATCTGGGAGCCCTGGCTGCCATTGCAGAGGACCTGGGGTTCCTAGAACCCACATGGTAGCTCCAGTTCTAGTCACCCCGATGACCTTTTATGGCCTCCATGGGCACTGACGGTGCAGACATACAGGTGGACAAATATTCACACATATTAAAAAAAATCTTACGCTGGGCAGTGGTGGTGCATGCCTTTAATCCCAGCACTTGGGAGGCAGAGGCAGGCAGATCTCTGTGAGTTTGAGGCCAGCCTGGTCTACAGAGCAAGTTCCAGGACAGCCAGGGCTAAACAGTGTCTCCAAAACTAAACCCTGTCTCAAAAAATAAAAACAAAGGCAAACAAACAAACAAAAACCCTATGCTATCTATGAGTGCTTGTAGCTGACAGGACGGGGCAATATCAAGGTATCTTAAGTACACCTTTGCTCAGCTCGTAGCAGGCTAGGTATCTGTACACAGCAGGCATGTTTCCATCCAGCTTTTTAGATTCTGCTAAGCCCTGTTTCCTAAGGACCACACCTCCATTTATCCATTCATTCATTCACTCACTGGGCATTTCCCGAGGGACTACAGCCTGAATGCATTTAGACTGTGCTGCACTTAGGCATCCAGGAACTACAGAGTCCACACAGTAGGGGGGCTAGGAAGATGGCTCAGTCACACAAGCATGAAGACCGGAGTTATATTCCCAGTACCAAGTCCAAAACCAGGTCAGACAGCATGTGCCTATAATTCCCAGCACTTCTGAAGTAGAGGAAGGTGATGTAGGAGGGTCATCTGTCTATGTGTTACTTTCATTGGTTAATAAAGAAACTGCCTTGGCTTTTGATAGGACAGCAGCTTAGACAGGCGAAGTAGACAGAACAGGATGCTGGGAGAAAGAAACAGAGTCAGGCAGACTCCATGCAGCCAGCCGCCAGGTCAGACATGCTGAATCTTTCCCGGTAAGCAACCACCTTGTGGTGCTACACAAATTAATCAAGATGTGAGAATTAGCCAATAAGAGGCTAGAGCTAATGGGCCAGGCAGTGTTTAAATGAATACAGTTTCTGTGTAATTATTTCGGGTAAAGCTAGCCGCTAGCTCCTTTTACAGGAAGGAGAGTCTCTGCAGCTTGCTGACCAGCCAGCTTTGCCAATTTGCTGAGCCCCAGGTCTCACACAAGCCAAATAGACAGCTCCTGAGGAACAACACCAGAGCAAGGTTGACCTCTGGCTTCTTCACACATGTGCATACATGTACATACACATACACACACATATGTAATAACACTCAGATCAAATGGGCCAATCAATCTCTAAATTCCTGATGTCATTTCCCACTAAATGATGCCAGCCTGTATGCACACATCTTGCATAGGAGGCTCACTTCCTCTCCAGCCTATTGTGAACCCAACAGAGTGAGATGACAAGAATCTAAGTGACCTGTGTCTGACCCTTTCTTCAGCTCAGAGTCCTCTGCTTTTCTCGGTGTCCTCTGACAGAAGGGGAAAACCACCTGCACGCAGCTCCCCGCCCTGGATTCAGAGGGCACCATGTGGATTGACTCTGGCCAGTATTGTGTTATCTTAATAAATCCTCAGGCCTCACATTCTTAGTCTATGGGCTGGAATGCAAGCAGAGGGGATACAGAAGGTGTCTAGTCTACACACCACTGAGGAAATACAGGGAGGGATTCTAGACCCGGCCCTAGGACCCAACTGTCCCCGATCCCACCTAGCTGGAGAGGGATCCTTCTCCCTAAGAGGCCAGAGCTGTCCCCTTCCGGCTGACCCTGTGGAGAGAGGCTCCCTTCACAGCTCTTCGCTAAGCTCCCCATGACGACACCGAAAGTGGAACAATTCACTCTCGTTGGTGGCCCCAGCAAAGCAAGTCAGTACCTCCCAGGGTCCTGATCCCTCATCTCTTCATTTAGGGACAGGTTAAGTCAGTGGCTTTTAGACTTCGGGGCAATGAAGACAACGGGTATTAAAAGGGGGAGGGACCCTAATTTGGTCTGCCAAGTGTCTCCTTTGCCAAGTAAAGGCTCTTTAAATGACCATGGACAGCTACCAGAAGTCAATCAGTTCTGAATTTTAACACAGTATCTATTTAGCCCGCCTCTAACTCTCTGTGTCTCCGTGTTTGGTTGGCATCACCAGTGCCTGGAAAGCCTTATGCAGTGGAGTGTACACAAAAGCATAAGCAAAGGCTGAAGAGACATTTCAGTAAAGTGCTTGCCACTTAAGCCCGAGGGCCTGAGTTCAGTCCCCAGTGCCCGGTAAAACCCAGGTGTAGCCACATGTCAGGGCCGGGGAGGTAGACACAGGAGTCCAGCCAGAGAGCTCATCTGACCAAACTGAGGAGCTCCGGGTTCAGTGAGAGACCCTGTCTCAAAAAATAAGGTGGAAGCCAGGCATGGTGGTACACACCTTTAAACCTAGCACTTGAGAGGCAAGCAGGCCTCTGTGAGTTCAAGGCCAGTCTGGTCTACTTAGTTCCAGCCTGACAGAGCTACACAGGAAGACCTTGTCTCAAACAAACAAACAAACAAATAAATAAGGTAGAGAGTGGTTAAGGAAGACACTCAATATTCTCCTCTGACCCCCATATGTATATGTGTGTGTGTGTGTGCACACACACACACACACGCACACACACACAACCAGTATGTGACACTTCAGGGGAGAGATCCAGAGGGCCTGCCCTGCTCCCACACTATGCAGCTGGACAGAAGTTCTGCCCCACCACAGTCTGTCTGTAAGTACTATCCTGCCCTCCACGTCCTCAGACAGGCAGGGCTGGGAACACACGACAGGAGAGGCTAATAATGGCTCCCTCTCACTGGACTCCCAGACTGTGCTCTCAGAAAACAGCAGGGGTGAGTGGGGGTGGGTGGGGGTGAGCAGTAGGGGTGTGTTTTGATGACTTCCTTTATGCACAAAAAACATTATTATTATTTTGTTTTTGTTTCTTGTTTTTTGAGACAGGGTTTCTCTGTAGCTTTGAAGCCTGTCCTGGAACTAGCTCTTGTAGACCAGGCTGGCCTTTAACTCACAGAGATCTGGCTGCCTCTGCCCCCGAGTGCTGGGATTAAAGGTGTGCACCACCACCTCCCAGTCAGAGGAAGCAAATATCGCCATCTTACATATCATTCAGTTAATGTGCCCTCCTCCCATCTCCTGTCTCCTGCCCCTCCACCATTCAGGCCAGTTTTCCACACCACCTCCCATTGGTTGAGCTCGCTCCCGTCCCAGGACCATTGTTTCAGTTCTGTCCCCTTCCAGAGTAAAGTTCCTCCACACATTGGCAAGATTCTCCCCCTCGCTTCAAGACTCTGATCATTAAGGTTCTCCCCTAAGCCCCTACTTTGAAACAACACAGCCTGTCCATCAGTCTGCCTTCACTTCTAATCCACCTGACCCTGCTCCGAGTCTTCTGCCCCAGGCAACGAATGGTCCCTGACACACTTTCCACGGACACTGCTTTTTTCAGATACTGCCCATCGTCCAGCTGCCCTTGGGAGGATGCAGGGTCTGCAGAACAGGTGCTCAGTTAAGGGTTTAGGAAGGAGTGGGTGAACAGAGACCCGGGGAAGATGAACAACTTCCCAGGCTTGTCACTAGCAAGTGGCTGAGCTGGGGATGAGCTCCGAGGCCAGGCAGCTTGGCCTTTGTGCTCGTCCACAGCTGAAGAGCAGAAGCCATCCTGAGCAGTAGGTGTGGGGAGGCGGGTCCCGGGACACGTGTGTCAGCTGTGCCCTCAAACACTGGCTGCCTTCCTCCTTCACTGGACCAGGAATCGCCATGGAAACACCTCTGAGAAGGAGCGGCTGTCTGTGAAGGTGAGAGGTAGAGCATAGAAAGGAAGACCCCACCCTGAATGGGAGCAGTCCCCAAGGGGAACCCGGAGCTCTAGAGTAAACAAAATAGGAGAGGAGGCAGCAAGCTGAACGCCAGTGCCTGTTCCCGACTGCACATGCAATGTGACCAGCAACTTCACAGGCGGATGTCATATCTTCCCACTAGGGTGGGCGTCCCTTAAAACTCTGAGTCCTTCCTTCCTTCAGTTGCTTTTTGTCAGATATTTTGTCCCCGTCATGAGAAAAGTAGCATAGAGATGCCCAGCGCCCTACGCCGGCCAGCCTAGAGCA